GAAAGGGCTTTAGGAAATTCTCTGAGATGATTGCAATATTCTAAACTTTGGAAAAAGTTTGAGTTATACAGGTGTATACATTTGCAAAAACTTGGCAAATTCATACTTAAGATTTGCACATTTCATTGCATGTAAATAATAAATGAGAACATTTAAAAATTAAATAGAGGCTAGCAGGTGGCAAGGTGATTAAGGCACTAGATTCTCACGTGGCTGATTGCAGCTCAAGTCCCGGACCTGGTGGCTTGCTTTCTCACTTTTCCTCTCTGCGTCTCTCTGGTGAGTGCATGTGTCTTATAGCAAATTTTTGAAAATAATAATAAATAAAATTAAATAATTCTAAAAATAAACAAATATTAAACTCTAGGTAATCATATGAAATGATATGAAAATGGAAAGTATACTCATATCTGCAATTTATTTTGAAATGTATCAAAAGGTAAGCTGGATAGGTAAATAATAAACAAGTAGAGTAAAATATAGAATCCATATGGTTACTACTTAGGTAGTCACTATAAAATTCTTCTAATTTTACAATATGTTTGAAAATTTTCATATTAAGAGGGAAAAGCCTGCAGTTGGTCTTATCTTTCTATTATATATCCTTTGCCCAAAATAAATATATAAAGAACTCTTACACCTCAATAAGAAAAAAACACAGGGCCAGCAGATGGCATGGTGGTTAAGGTGGTTGAATCCTACATGGTCAACTACACAGTTTGAGTCTCATATCTAGCAGCTTGAAAAACATGCTGGGTGCATGTGTACACATGCCCAAAATCCTGAGAGAAGAGTGGAGGAGAAGGGTGAGTGCATGCCCCAAATCCTGAGAGGTAAGTAGAAGAGAAGGGATTATAGTATGGTCATTCCCTTTGGGGGTAGTTTCTCATCACTCTTTCTCCCTGTCTCTCTCTGGTGAGAGTGTACATGAACTATAAGAAACTAAAAAAGAAAAAGTTTAATTCCATAAAGAGCAGTTACTAATAGTGGTGTCTATTATCATTACAAATAAAATGAGGGTGTCATTTAAGTTATAATCCTTGAATGAAAAAATATCTCATGTCAAGTTCTATATGTGAATTGTGTCTTATCCAAACTTCATCCAAAATGTGGATATGCAACCATCGCTAAAAAAACACTTAATAAGTGCTTTCCTATGTGAAAAATATTATAATCGTCAGTATGCTATATATAAGATAAAGTAATACCTGTTGCCATTTGAGAGCTTTGGAAATAAATGTGACATAAATTTGTGTCAAACAAATCTGGTTGTTTTCCCTATCTCTACACTTATTAGCTATGGAATGTTGGGCACATTGATTTTTATAAACCTCATTTGTACGAAGGGGAAAGATAACTGTAGTTCATATTCATGTGGTTATTCTGAGTGATAAACAAGACAATCCATTTCACATGTATCACAGTGATTGATAGAAAGCACTCAGTATGTGTAAGATATTATTTTAAAAAAAAGATGTATGTATAAGATTCAAAACATTCAGTTAGTAAAAGAACATGGAGTGCCTTAATCTTAAATATTGGGTCATCAAAAAAGTCATGACGTATTTTTCCATGTTTATCTATGCAAAAATTCATCATGACTTTTCCAACAACTCAATAGAACAATATCATCTCACTAGGTAGTTCAAATAGTAACCACAATATTTGTTCTGTTTTCTTCCAGAGTTAGGAGAAGTACTACAGAAAGTCAAAGAACAGTAAGGTTGCTGTTACATTGACACTGTAAGAACACAGAAATGTAGATCAAGGAGTGAAATGCAGAAATACACCTCTTTTCAGCTTAATGTCCATACTTGCCAAGAGAATCTACTCTGCTCCACTCAGTCTTGCATTAAAATATCAGAAATGTTACCCATAATGTTTTATACTATCACGAGGATGTTAAGTAGGTGGTACATAGTTAAGAGTCCCTAAACCAGTCAGGTGATGGGGGCAGTTAAGGTGAAGCACAAGAATATTAACCTCTCCTCCATCTCCAAAAGGACGGCCAAGTCTCCTACCTAGTGGGTGGCAGAATGAGCAGGTGTATGAATGATGCTGTGGGAAGCTGGGAAGCTCATATGTTTTTGTGAAACACATTGTCTTATTTCTATATGTAGTATTTAAATATCACACATTCTTTGATATTATTTTTGGCTTTTTTTAAAAGACAGGGTCTAGGGAGCTGGCAGGTGATGCAGTGGTTGAGGTGCTAGATTCTCACATGGCTGAGCAGTTTGAGTACTAGACCTTGCTTACTTTCTCACTTCCTCTTTCTATCTCTGTGTCTCTCTCTGGTCAAATAATAATAATAATAACAATAATAAATACAATACAATAAATAATTTAAAATTAAAAAAGACAGGGTCTCACCATTGTAAGAGCCTCCGTTCTCAGCTTTCGAGTTGGGACTGTATCACACCTAGCTCTTTATCTTGCTATTTTGCCTAGGCCAACATCAAGATTATGATCTTCTGCCTCAGCCTCCTAAATCATTGAGATTAGAGGTGCATGCCATGGCACCCACACCTGGGAATTGAATTCAGGTTTCCCATCCTGAACTTGTCCCGGTCTGAATGACACACGGTCTTAGCAGTGTGTACCACTGTAGCTGAGTCTTTTGGCATCTTTTTATCAATCATCTTATTAAGAATCATGCAGCCTATATTCCCATATAATGTTACTCCTATAACTAAGCAGTAGCAGTTTATCCTTTCAGCTGGGCTGTAACTCTCCTGTTTGTTCTACCACCCACAACTCCATACCATCTTTCCTTTCACACTAGGTTTATTTTGAGCCTGGCCTATATGGCGTTTGGACCCTGATCTAAATAGATTTTGCAGAGGTGACACATTAGGAGTTTCTTAGTGGTATCATATCTAGACTAGAAGTACTCTATCTCCTGCCTCTACCAAAAAAGCAGCCAGGAATCTCAGACATTTCGCAAATGCCTTTATGAGTAAATTAGTTTCTTCCTACCATTTCATCAAAAGAAGGCAATGACTTAAAGGAGAAGGCAAAAGAAACTCAAAAATCACCTTTAAAAAAATCTCTGATAGGACTGACATCTAAAGACATTTTGCTCTGAAACACTCTTGGGAGG